ACGAAGTTTGGCCGGTTTTCTTGGAATTCCCCCGTGAGATTCCATGACTTTTAGAACTTTAAATTAGTATGTTCATGTTCTTCATGTTGTTAGCTTTCCAATGGTTCAAATTTCATGAAAAATGGTGCAAAAAACGAGCGAGAAATAGGCAGTTACAGGTCTGCCCAGAATCCGGCGCCGGTGACATAGTTCCGGCGTCTGGAGGTTGAAGGTGATGCGAGTGTGGGCGTGTGAGGCCGTGCCCTCCCCGACGCGTGAGCCACAAAAAAATTTATCTAAAAATATCACGATGTTCGTGAGGTTGTGTAGGTCACGTTGGTATATTCAAATACCAAAATTGAGCAATGTATGAGAAGTTATTAGCTAGTTTTGTCTATGTGCTTTAAAATAACGTTTTTATAGTTAATTCGCATATAGGTGAGACTTATCCCGAAGACGAGTGTATCCAGGGGCGACTAGGGGGTTACGACTCGTCGATATATCAGTGAGTGGGCTTTGTTTTCAGTATATATTTATATACTTGATATATTTCCCAGAAATGCATTTTAAGGAAAGTATGCTTTGAAATAATATGCCAAATGCTTTTATATTATGAATATGCATTCCATGGTTGCATATATATATATATATATATGTGTGTGTGTGTGTGTGTGTGTGGTGCTGTGGAGGCACATGTAAGTTCAGGTAAGTTATGTTTGAGTATGTGAATCATCGACGATGTGATATGTGATTGAATAATGTTGAGCTCATAAAACTGCACCTAGGGTGATTGTGATTTAGCCAGAGATATGAAGTACATGCCTGTTTATTTACATCACCTCCCGCACTACATGCTCATATTGGATCCAACTTAAGTGCACAGTCTTGTCGTACATACCTTATTTATGGTTCCGACTCATAGGTGACTAGCGAATTATTGCTCAGCTATTATGAGAGAATATAATTGAGCATAATTATATTTCACCCAATTCTATCGTACAGACCCTTTTAAGGGTTCCGACTTATGTGCAGTTTATTACCGTATAGGTCATTGTAGTGACTCCGACTAGATTGACTTTTGAGCTATGAATTCAGCCGTACAGATTACCACAGGGGTTCTGGCTAGCATGTTATATTTATATGAAATTACTCTTACCTGAATGGCTTACTTTGTTATATCTTGGCATGTCATACGTATTATTATGATTATGTGAAGCATGAATTTAATTGATATGAATTCATATATATGTATATATATATATATGTGTGTGTGTGTGTGTGTGTATATATATATATTATGCATATGCTTATATTCTGATTCTAGGAAAAATTATACATGTTTTACAGCGAGGGGTTAGATATGTTGATAAAGAAAATGATTTTGTAAAACAATTATTTTTGCCCACTCACGTTTTCTGTTTTTGCGCCCCTCCAGATTCTAAGTAAGCTTACTGTTGGTGGCTTGGGATCGTCGGCAGTTCTGACTTATTTGAATAATAGTAGGACATTCCTGGTATTGTGTAACTAGTACTTGTCTTACTGAACTGCACCTAGACTTTCTATGCTCTGATTAGGAGTGTTTACGGCTGTAACTAACTCATATCACTTCCTGTTAGTAATGCACTCTAGAAATGTGATTTTTTAATTATTCGTATATCTGCTATCTTTATCGCTTCCGCACTGTGCACATGGCTACGTCACTTTCACGTGACGGGCAGCATGCCTTGATCTCGATCGGGGTGTGTCACCAAATTTGGAGGGCCCCCAAAATTGTTGCCATCTAATATTATGTAATAATGTTTTATATTTAGAAAATAGATCTTTTTAGCATTTTAAAATCTCATTGCATTCCTTATAAGAATAATTTTTTTTCCTTTTTAAATATAAAAGGGTAATGCTAAGAAGATTAACGGACAAGGATTGTCTGCCCTCCCACTTTCGGTGCCCTCTTGTTTTGTGTGGTCACGGTTAAGCCACGTCAACATTTTATATTGTTTTTTTATAGAGATAATAAGACAAAAATGAAAAGTAATATAAAATGTTGACATGGCTTAATCGTGACCACACAAACAAGATGGCACGGGAGAGCACCGGAAGTGGAAGGGCAGACAATCCTTGTCCTTAACTAAATGATGTGTCACTAATAGGAAATGAGCACGTATATTAACGCTTAAATAATAATCCAATCATCAATTCATATGTCTAATTTACAAAATTTTGTCTACAAATTTAGTTTCTCTAACATTACTCAATTTAAAAATTTGGAGTACAATGAGATATTCTAATTGTCATACTAACACCCAAAAAAACGATGGTTTTTCAATTTTATTATAGAATAATGTCATATATTCAAGTGAAATTATAAAGTTAAGAGTTTTGAAATGGGTAAATCGCCAAAATGGTCCCTGAGATTTGCATAACTCATCACTTTGGTCCCTGAGATTCCAAATAGATAAAAGTGGTCCCTGAGATTGTCCACCATCTATCATTTTGGTCATTCCGTTAAAAACTCCGTTAAGTGTCCTAGAGCTCTTGGCCGGAAGTTTGGGCAATTTTCAAAGCTTCGTAACTCAATCGTTTCTTAACCAAATTAGACCCATAATATATCAAAATGAATATAAGAAAGTGTAAAATAAGATTATACCTATTTTGAAGCCAATGGTTACCAAAGATGGCCAGAAAATAGTCTCAAAGTTGACTGGTCCGAGTGAAAACTTGAAAACACGCCGGAAACTAGGTAAACTTTAAACATTCATAACTTCTTCAATACTCAACGAAATCAAGTGATTCAAAAACAAAAATCATACTTCTCGAAAAGAAGAAGAGAATGGTACATTTTTCGATGGATAATTCTCCATGGTTTGGCCGGAAAATGGCTTGAAAGTGACTAACTCGAGACCAAGACAGCCACTTACGAGCCGTTTTACGGCCAAACCACGGCGAGTTAGCCATCAAAAAAGGTACCATTCTCTTTTTCTCGTCAAGAAGTATGATTTTCATTTTTGAATCACTTGATTTCATTGAGTATTGAAGAAGTTATGAACGTTTAAAGTTTACCCAGTTTCCGGCGAGTTTTCAAGTTTTCACTCGGACCAGTCAATTTTGAGGCTATTTTCCGGCAATCTTCAGCAACCATTGGGCTTCAAAATAGGTATAATATTATTCTACACTTTCCTATCTTCATTTTGATATATTATGGGTCGAATTTGGTTAAGAAACGATTGAGTTACGAAGCTTTGAAAATTGCCCAAACTTTCGACCATGAGCTTCGGGACACTTAACGGAGTTTTTAACGGAATGACCAAAATGATGGATGGTGGACAATCTCAGGGACCACTTTTATCGATTTGGAATCTCAAGGACCAAAGTGATGAGTTATGCAAATCTCAAGGACCATTTTGACGATTTACCATTTTGAAATTTTTATCCTTGTTTGGTTGTTTAATGAAGGTTATGTTTGCAGCTTTTTTATTTATGATTAATGACATTTGTAAACTTGCAATCAGTTAGTGCTAAAGTTTATTTTGATTTAAAGCTAGTGCTAAAGTTTATTTTGATTTAAGTTATTGTTTTCAAACATCAATATTTTGTTCTAGTTTTTTTAAAACTATCTTAAGGAGGGGCCCGTTTATAAATCTCGCACAGGGCTCCCGAAATCTCAGAGACGGCCCTAATTTGCATAACGGCGTGAATTCAAATTCCGTCAGTGACTAACCTAACATCTAATTTAACAAAATATATTATTTGACAAAAAAAAATAGTAATAAAAAACATCTAACGGCTCAAATTTAAATGTAATGATCAAAATATTAATTAATCCAAATCAAATCAAATAGAAAAATTCCTCCAAAAATCTATAAATACACATCCATTCGTTCACTAATCCATAAACTCATTCAATTTTCTCAACAATTTTTTTTTCCGGAATTTGAATTTTTTTTACATAAAAAATATTTGTGAAAATAAAACAATATAGATAATACAAAAACTAATTCCAAAAATATTAGTAAAAAATTCAATGTGTTTGTACCATACTTGACCAATCCCGAAACTACTGAGCACCGGTCAACGTTATACCGTCAAGGACCCAGACGAGCTTCTCTTCAATCAGGAGGCCAATCACAATGCGACACGTGTCGACATCAGAAGCCAATCACAGCGCGACACGTGTCTACATCAGAAGCCAATCACAACACGACACGTGTCAATGTTAGAACAAAACTAGAAACTCTCTTCTATAAATAGGGATCATTCTTCCACAATAATCTCTAATGTCATTTTGTACTAAACTATTCACTAGAACTCACAAAATGAGAGCTTGAACCTATGTATTTGTGTAAACCCTTCACAATTAATGAGAACTCCTCTACTCCGTAGACGTAGCCGATCTGGGTGAACCACGTACATCTTGTGTTTGCTTCCCTGTCCCTATTCATTTACGTACTTATCTTCACTAGTGATCGAAGCAACCAAGCGAAGGTCACAAACCTGACACTTTTTGTTGTACCAAAGTCCTCGCTGATTTTGTGCATCAACACAACGAAATAAAAAAGTTTAACAAATTATAAAGTTGCGGGTGAGAATTATAGGTATCTTAGGTGAACGGTTGAAAATACAAGGCTAAATTCTCAAATTTTAGCCCCTTTATTGCGTAATGTTCTTAGAAGGGAGGGGACCTTCTTTGAGCCCTCACCATAGCTAATAAGTTTGACCTCGTTACAGCATCTTTTTTGGTCAGATTAATGTATCCATCATTAACATGCATACTTCTTTAAAAGGAATTATTAAACCCTAGGTTTCCGAACAAGAAAATTTCTCTCCAGTAAATTGTAACCAAGACAGAATCTTAGGTGCAGAAAAAAAGAACTTTGTATTTATACCCCAATTTTTATCCCTCCTGCCCCGTAATCTTTTGACATCCAATAAAACTTGAGAATTTTAACGTCTTATTCTATTTACCTAGTTATTCTTCCAAAATGTCTGGGGAAATTTGAAAAAGAAAAACCAAAATTTACCCTCTATATAGAATTATAGCCACTCTCTTAAATTTATGATAATTACAACCAAAAGTTAACATAAAAATATATACCCTTATTGACTGAAATTATTCATTACTCTTAACCGTAAAAAAAAACAACAATTGGTTGAGATCTTGAGGAACGTAGCCTCTTGAATACTACCCTACTCTCAAACCCCTCCATTTCTTACACTCTTCTTCTATATATCCCCCATACATACATATATATATATTCAAATGTAATCAAAGAAGATGAAAACTGAACGGAAACTAGTAAACTAAAAAGCCTAAAAATTAATCAGGAACTGAACATCTGAAGCAAAATTTGAATCTAAAAACAGAGGAGCAAAAACCCTTTTAAGTTGAAATCTGTGTGAGGTTTCTATGCTGAGATATGTACAGTAGTTGGTGTACAGTGTCAGGAATCCACCATGGTTTCGGCAAAGCTGCTATCTTTGGTCTTGAATCTTGAACCCTACAATAGTGTATACTAGCAAAAGTGCCTGCGCGTTGCTGCGGGTGTTTAAAATATTTTGATAATATGTACATACATAAAACAGAATTTATTGAAGTTAGATTTATATACCTAAGATAGAGATTGGCAGTGTGCAATTCCTCACTGTTATAAAGATAGAGATGCTATGAAAGCTATATTCATGTACAGAAGTTCATAGTCAGAAATTTTCTCTTGCTATATATTAAGAATTGGAATCAGTAAGAATTCAATATAGAAAAACTAAATTTTTTCAATCTATTTAACCAATGAATTGATGGAGGAGCGAAAAAGAGAAACAAAAAAAAGGCCATTATTCAATTATATGGAGAATTACTTGATACATACAAAAGGTTTGAAAATTAAACTAACGTTAAAAAAAAAAAAAAAAAAAAGATGAGATGGAGTGGAAATCACATACCAACATCAAGCTTAAAATTGTGGTGCTCATTTGTAGTGCTATCGGCAATTAGTCTTATCAAGAGCTTCTGCACTGGTTGATGTCTCGGTCTTTTCCTTAGTTGTATGTACATTGTAGACTGGGTAGATGAGAAGCAGAAGAAAATAAAAATATAAGTTAAAGTTACAACTTACCTATCCATATTGATTCATGTCCAACACATAATAAGAATAATAAGAATAGTGAATCATTTTTCATCTCGTGCACTGGTTTGTCATTGTCACTCGAATTCACAAATTCATTTACTCCAAATTCTTAGTTATGGCCAGGGAAAGAATGTTTAAGCAAAAATATGTTTATATGTTTTCCACTAAACTACCTGTTAAACCAAATCCAAATGTCAAAAATAAAAAATAAATACCTTTGTCAAACCTCTTGGGCTTCAAGTCCACCAACTCCACCCCAATACTCTGTGGCACCTCAGAAATTCTTCCACCTTTAGTAGCCTAGATCATGCATTTATCAGTATAAATACAGAAAAGAAAATAAATGCAATTTATTAGAACAAAGAATTTGGGATAAACAAAGTTTGTCCAAACTTTCAGTGAGGCCAATAAACAGCAACTGAGGATAATTTTTCGTTTTGCTACATTGAGAGGGGAACCCAAACCTGATATTAAAAAACAAAATATTCAGTATAATGCAAACAATTCAATATGTAGTATCAGTTGAGGATGCATAATTCAAGGCTCTAAAGCATTGAGTACGACACCAAACTTGTTGGTAAGGATGCAAACTTTGTCCAACTGAGCAAGGCGCTTGATTTTGGAAAGATGGCCAGAATGAACAACAATGTATTCACTCAAAGTAAATGTGCCTGGAAAACTCTACTCATAGTTTACAAATCTGCAATTCTCAAATCTTAATCATTTAAAATCGTGTATATATATATATATATTATGTATATTATATGTATGTAGTAGATATTATTGCTGACCTTCGGCAGAAGTAGAGTTTAGTGTGATAAACTGAGGTATATTTGACCTTTACCCTCATTTCCATGGCCTTAGGTGGAGCAACCTTCACCCTTTCCATCACCAACAGCTTCCCTGCTGCCCATGCAACCGCTGTTGCAAAATCTACAACACAGAAATCCCAAATTGAGGAGTATTAAATCTCTATAAAGACATGTGAAATAAAGAACAATGGACCTAGCGGGCAGAGAAGCTGATTGGTGTTCATAAAAAAGATATTTTAGCTTTAATTACCTTATATCATGAATAAAATAAGGATAGATTGTGTTTACCCAGTTTTTTGTGCAGGAAAGAAGGCTGGTTTTGCATGATTTGGGAATGACCTTTTTCTGGCAATTTTATAGGATGTGATCAAATTTTTGCACGTTTGTCTTTTTGGAATCTACATTAGATAAAACTACACAAAATTAAACACTAAAAAGAAAAACACAAACACCACTGATCCAAATAAGAAACGGAGACAACTGAGAGAAAATGGAGGCAGGGACAGCATACCCAAACCGACAGTAGCGTTCCAGCTCATGCGAATTCTCAGACTTGTCAGTAGAGGAAGCCAAACACAAAATATGCTCTTCTAAAGACTATTCTGCGAAGAAAAAGCAAAGATTGGGCAGCAAAAGAGGGAACGATGAAGATCAAGGAAGGTCAAAAACAAAGAGGAAAGGTAAAGTAGAAAACATGCGGTCCAAGCAGAGAAAGAAACGATGAAAGACGCGTGACCGGGAAGGGCGAAAGCGACTTTTTACGTATTCAAAATGAAACAGTAGCGATCCAAAGAAGAAACTCGAGGGCATTTCCGCTCTTTCACTGCTAATGACTAGTGCCGGAAAACTGAGTTTTAGTATATGTATAATTTCATGTGATTAGTTTTCTAATGGTCTCTGGTTTGCAATCTCTTACATTGTATTACTTTTGAACCTTTACCTTTTCAGGTGGACGAGATTAATCATTTCAATCGGTTCGGCATTACTTTGGGTCTTATCTGTATCCTCTATTGGAAGAAACTTGAGCACAAGTGCATTCAAGTGAAACTATTTACAAAGCACCATTGATGAAATAATTGCTTTTAAGAGTATGGGAAAAATCTATATGACGTCAAGATTGTCACCGGAGAAACAGGTTCAGTGATTAGTGAAAGTTTGGCTAGTAGTATTTTCATGTCTTGCGGTCAAAGTAATTGAGAAGTATGAAAAATCGAAGGGAAATACTACACAATGGAAAATATATAGTTTTGTAATTAGTTTAGTTAAGAAAGGGTATTGTAGTATTTTTATGTCAAGTTTTGGTTAGAATTAAGAAATTTTTTAATTATTGGTTAAAATTCTATTTAAACTCCAAAATTTAGCTAATTTTCCAAATTTCTCAAATGTCTGCCATATTTAAATTTAATTTTGACCTTTTATTATTGCAGGCAGATTGTTTGCCCTTCTGTTATGGTGCCCTTCCCATCATTTCCTATTTGTGCGGTCATGGTTAAGTCACGTCAACATTTTATATTGATTATTTTTATAGAGATAATAAGACAAAAGACAATAGGAATATAATATATTGACGTGACTTAACTGTGACCGCACAAATAGAAAAAGATGGAAAGAACACGATAACAGGAGGGCAGACAATCTGCCTCCTTTATTATTGACTTGAATGAATAGGTAACACAAGCAGTGAAGCCCGCGCGATGCTGCGGGATTCAAAACTGTCTGGTTGCACTGCTGTGATGCGTCCCACAACATCTTGTAAATTGGCAATCCAATATCATAAGATTATAGGATGAAAAAATGTTGGCGAACAAAAATGGCATATAGATGTAGGTTTATAAATGTGTTTAATTACCTATGAGAATTTCAACTTTATCTACACAGGATAACAATTCACTGTAATCCACTAAATAAAAGCGATGCTCAGGAATGTATGGAGGTCCTGTTATTTGTTTACTGGAAAGCCAAGCATTGTTAGTAGATGATGTTAAATATTTTGTAGATGCAATAAAAAGAATTCCTCTCAAGGTAATTACAAATTCTCACTCTCCCAAATCTTACTTTGTCAAATGCTTAGAGAATTACGCATTCAATAAACCCATAAAAATTAAAAACTCTAACCTACAAAAATAAATAAAACAATATACAATCAAATTACAAGAATAGAGACAAAGTACCAGTTACATCTCTAATCTTTTATAAGGGGTCTTTTCCACATAACAGCGTCAACCAAAGATCGGAGCATACAAATAAACGATATTAAACTTTTCAACCAACAAAACCAAATATTCAATCAATACAACCTACATATTAAATATTGTTCTCAACCCCTGTTGAAGAAAGGATAATACAGAGAACTGATTAAGTGAATATTATAGTCAATATCCTGCAAATTTGGACATTAATATAGATGTGATTTAACTGATCAAATGTGATTTAATTTTGTATTTCAATCTGAACAAAGGCCACCCTTCAGACATAGTTCAACATAAATCAACGCGGAAAAATATTAAGAATTAAATTAATCAAATACAAAAATAGTTGTAGATCATGGGATATCACTTTGGGATTTTCGTGGTTTACCTTTTCTTTAAAAATAAGGCAGTGCTTGATCATCTAGTCCTCCAACCTTCTGTTTCTCAATCTTCTGCAAGATGATTCAAATCAGAACCATTTTCAGAAGAAACAAAATTAGAGGAAAAAGTGGTGCTTCCTACTTCAAACAATGAAAATGCGAAAATATTTGATCCCAATTATCCTTCAGTGACCTAAAAGAAGGCTGGTCGCTAGGACTGCTTACTCGAGCTCAACTGAAGCTCAATGGGGTCAGAGACGGAAATAGAACCCAAGGAGGAGAAAGAACGGTCAAAGCCAAATTTATACAACTAATTACCATTCAATCATATTAGGGGAAAATAATTAAACTATACAATAACAGCAATTAAATCTTAGGAATGACAAAATTTTCTGTAGTTCAAAAAACCCATATGGAAACATGTAAACAGTTCTCAAGGGAAATTACAAAATCATATTGAAAACCCCTATCGAAGCACATTAATAATCTAACTAATGAATGTGATTCGAGAAACAAACCTTGTTCAAGTGCAATCTACATATTTTACAGCAATAATCTGACCATTTGGCAAGTGGCCCTGAAGTAATGAATCAGTATTACTATTAGGCTTTCATGCTTTAAAACAAACAAAAAAAAAAAAAACAGTAGACTTGAAGAAACAGACCAAAATTACTGTATAAAGAAGAAATCATTCAATTGTAAAATGTGTAAGACTTCTGAATTGGGATTCACCTAATAAACAATGCCAAAACCTCGTTGGCCGAGTTTGTTAATGGGTGAGAAGTTATCTGTGGCTGCTATTATGGTGCTCAGACCGAAATATTGCACTGATTCAATAATTCTAAAGAAAAAGCTCTTATTTGATAATGCACCAAATCCTATCCAAAAACCAAAGGGGTGCCATATCCCTAGATTAATAGAGCATCTTTCTTTGTTCTGGCTTTGGTAAAATAGAAAGATTACCATATACCTTGGGCATAATCTCGATTCGGTTCCATTATTCGAGCACTTTACTATCCTTTTAGTTCTTTCTCTCAACATGGGAAATACAATAAAAGGTCGTACCCAGTGCACAAGGCTCCCGCTTTACGCAGGGTCTGGGAGAGGTGAATGTCGGCTAGCCTTACCCCCATTTATGGAGAGGCTGCTCCCAAGTCTCGAACCCGAGACCTACCGCTTATGGGCGAAGGGCACTTGCCATCGCACCAAGTGCGACCTCTTAAAATCTATTTACGTAGTGAAAGAAAATAAGACATTCACATAGTGATAGCTATTTACTGTCCTTTCTCAACATAATCTCGACTCCATTCCATTATTCAAGCATTCTACCGTCCTTTTAGTTCTACAATATGTGAATGTCTTCATACATTTCAGCATATATATACATATATATATACACACACTGAATTGTGAAAGCAATGAGAGAAATATACCTTTGGGTGTTGATGCCAGAAGGGTGAGTAAGGGATCTAAGATGTTTGAGAGCAGGAATTTTTGAGCAATTTGTGTGCAAAAGTTGAAGAGCTTCGAACAGAGTGGAGTGAGTTGGCATGGGAAAGTAGAAAATGTTGTTGTTCAACCAATCTCAAATGTAAAGAAACCATACTATTAACATATAAATAAGTTTTATATATCAATGTTAACATGTACGTTGTTTGAGTAGGTAAATCAGCAACATATACAGTGATCAACAGATTAACAGCAATAAACTGCTCATTATTTGAAAATATACATGAAAGTTGTCATTCACATGATCCAAATGGTAGTTAAGTTGAATAATTGCAGCAAGCAAACAAATAGAAGACTTAAAAACTGGAAATGAAAACAGGTAACATTGAGTTTTAATAACCGGAAAGGGACCTTCTTTAGGCAGCTCCACAGCAGCATTTATACTTGGACAATGAGCTGCAAAAACAGAGAAGAAAACACAAATTAAACTAAAAAATATAGAATTTAACACTAATCCAAGGATTAAATATCAAATATAAAGTCATTAGGATTGGGACCTTTGCATTGAGGAATATCTACTACACTATGAGTTCCTAATGATAAAGCCCAATCAGGGGGTTTTGTGGTGACCTGGTGACCCAAGAACGGCTAACTTTGCGAGACACTGCCATCCCCACGAACACCAAACCCAGTTAATATCAAGATCAAAACTAACCAATACCAGATAGATATTTCTTTTTATTTAAATTTTAAGAAAAGGCCTAAACTTCACGAAATTAAGGGGAAAAAAAAGTCAAGTAAAGCACAAATTTGCAACTGTCAAAAGTGAAATCTGAGACTCCAACTGTCTTGAAGAACTCCGTCGCCTCATCGATGACAGGACGGTGGAGATTGAACTCGTGAGTACACTCGGAGCACCTGATTATACACCGAACAGAAAACAAAATTTAAATCAAGTCGAACAATAATTATAAGAAAATAAACTAAAAGGGATTTGAGTTGGGAGTTACGATTTGAAGTGCGGGCAGTGGAGGGTGTAGGTTAGCGACGGCGGATGAGGGTTTGAGCTAGGGCTCAGTGAGAGAGAAGGTAGTGCTAAAGGCACTATTTGTCAGCCAATCATATAATAGCCACAAAAACAACGCTAAAATTTTCTACACACATAAAAAGAAATTGACACAATTTATCCAAGTGTAATTTCAGCAGAGGAAGAAAAAAAAAACTAATATAAAAATCACATGACCAAAATTAATATAAAAAAAAAACTAATATAAATAGAACAGAAACAAAATCTCAAAATCCAAGTAAAATGAAGAACAAAAATCACATGACCAAAATTAATATAAAAAAAAAACCCAACATGCATGAAAGACAAATAATCGGTGAAAGCAAGAAATCCATTTGCAAAGAAGGTTTTTGTTTGCGAACCTTAACAACTGGATCTTGTTAACAGCAAGGCGAGGAGCAGAACCAAGCCGGATCAAATTGAGCCAAAGCTTCAGAAAGCTGGATCTTGTGAACAGCAAGGGCTTGATCGATGATGATTTCTATGATTTCACGGCTGCGGAGGCAGTCAGAATCCACGAGGCACCAAAAACCGTCAGCGAGAGAGGGCGAATTCGAGAGCAATAGAAGAGAGAAGTCGAGGACTCGACCTGAGTTTTGAAAGAGAAGTCGAGCTGGGTTCGTCATTTCTGCGAAAGAGAGCTTGTGGGTACTGCGAGAGAAAAGAGTTGACGGAAGTGAGTCGGTGAGAGCAGAGAGAGAAAGAAGCAAGTCGAAACATCGAGAAGGAAGAACACGCGTCACCATTTTGTTCCCACAGCGTAGCAAACCGGCAAAGTTGGAATAGCAAAAAAGAAGTAGGGGCAAAAACGGAATCACACTGTACTATGAACAGTGTTTCAGTGTATTTTCTCTTTTAGTATATACAAGCAGTGAAGCCCGCGCGATGCTGCGGGTCTCAAAATTGTCTTAAACGTGTAAAAAGTAGGGCATATATACGTGAGAAAATATGTGCCAGAGAGTACGCCATGGCCATAACCAAGTACTATTTACATTCATATATTACATAACAAAAATTGGGATGGTAGTACACCATAGCTAGAGAGTACTATTTACAATCATATATTACATGCCAAAAATGGAGGATGTTAGTATGTCATCCTCATGGATTGTTCTTCAAAAGCTATGGTCCTATTCCCAGGGAGACTTTAACGTTTAAAATTGTACAAGGCTCAAAAGGTAAGATTTGTTCCACTAAAGACACCCATATGCGTCGTTAATGGTGTCTCCTTTGTCTTGTACAATAACGATGAATTGAAAAAAAATACAAAAAAAATTAAAAATAGAACTCGATCCCTTAAGAATTGAATGAATCTAAATTGCATATGATTTAAAGGCACACAAAAATTAAAAAGTAAGATTGGTTCACATTTTGTATTAGCCATTCAATTTAGTACACACCTAAAAAAAGCATAAGCAAAAAACAATTTCTCATTCCTCAATTTCTCTCAAATCAAATAAAAAAACTCATTGGCGCCAAGCTAGTGCATAGTAATAGGATCCCCAACAAAATTATCATAAGCAGCAGTTACGGACACTTTGCATATATAAATCAAAACCCATCTTATCATTCATTACTGTATTTTTAGGTCATAAAAAGCAAATAATACGGTCAAAATAATACGATAACTAAAAAATATTGGTATTTCAAAATCTCTAAGCTAACATCCAATACTCAGGTACCAAATGTACAGTGAGAAAGCTGGACATCATAACAGATATTCAAAAGAAACCCAATAAACAGAACTAAGGGGCAGCATTGCCTATAAAAGGAGCTGCATAATAAACTTAAGAGGAAAGATATAATCAAATCATGTTTAGTGTAAACTATTTCACCAATCCTTATCAATCAAACTTAAAAGATCCAAGCCGACCATGAAAACTGGCCGCTACGACTGCTTACTCGAGGGATCAGAGACGAAAATAGAACCCAAGGAGGAGAAAGAACGGTCAAAGCCAAAGTTGTGGGTTTGAGGAAATGTTGAGGAATTTGGGTCTGAGGACTTTGAGAGCTACAAATTCAGAGTTTTGAATACTTTCATTAGTTCTGGATATACATACAACTAATTAAAATTCAATCATATTAAGGGAAAATAATTAGACCATACAACATTGTTGGTTCCAACACAGCACTCTGTACACAAAATCACCAAAAAAAAAAAAATCAATAGATAACCTACTTAATAGATTAATACAGGCAGATGTGAATTTGGTTAGTAATTAGTTCTTGAGAAAATTACTAATCTTTAATTAATTGGTATTTTTATTCCTACTTAACAAACCAATTTGAATGGCTTAAAACTCAAAAATTGTGAAATTTTATAGAAAAATTTTGGCCAGACCTTGTTTCAAAAACATTGCTCTGTTCTTCCTCAGGCTACGGAACAACTCCTCCACCAAATTGATTTACAGAATCTGTTTCAAGCCTAATCATTATGAATCATGCAACTATGTCCAGCATAAATCAATTTCTATGAAAAACGCTTCGAAATAACTTACCCAATCAGTTGCCCCACAGATAACAAATCCCGCCATTGCAGAAGAGTACCATTCATTCATGATCATCCTGCATACCAGTTCCAAATTCTCAAACTTCAAAGCAAATAAATTAATCAAAAACATAAAAGCAGCAATTTTTGTTCTCGAAAAACTAAATTAGTAATTGTTACCTTGCAAAAGTGTAGAAAAAGAGAGAGAATACAATTGGGGTAACTTTCGAAGGTGTAGAGTAAAAATATTACCTTGGCTGGACCCAAAAAAGGTCTCAAAGGCCTGAAATTGGCCGAAAAAGATTCCGATCCTCGTCGAAAAAACCCACCGCAAGGTGGACTTATGGAAATCTTTGATCGACGGGTAGATTCGAGCATGCAAAGCTCACATGTTGTTGTTGGGACTGTCTGAGTCAAATAGTTTTGGTTGCAGGGCCAGCCGCCACCGGAAAACCTTTGAAAGTCGGCGGGAATATCGAACCCAAACTGGGTTCGAGCGTTCTAAGGACTTGGGCGCGAATTAAAATTAATGGATGATCGTGTTGATTTGGGGAAGGAGATTAAAAGGTTTGGGTTTGTGTTCGAACGGGGAATCGAAGTCGGGAGGAGCGCAACTATGAACTAAGAACTCACCCAAACATAATCCAATGGAAAGAACGAACCACCTAAAGCAGGAAGAAGAGGTGAGTGCGATTCCAGCTGTCGAGAGATGCTTTGGTCAGTGGCAGACTTCAAATAATACAAACTAACTGAGGGCAAAATAGGAAGCACACTGTGCTTATGAACAGTAACACAGTTGATTTTGAGTTTTAGAATAGATTGAATATAATTTGAGTTGAAAAAAAAAATGAAGATTGTAGAGTATTATAAGGAAAACATGGTTGATTACACAAACGTTCGGATCTGGTGCATTGACTGGTGCATTGAACCTTGGGTGTGGGGCTATGACAAAATTGATGCAAGACATTTGGACTTGGTGCATTGAATGTTGTCCTTGTCGTTCCGCAGGGGTCACACAACATGCCAATTATAATTTGGTATCAAATTCGTTATTTATGAGAGTTAAATATGAGACATCACACATGTAGAGACATAAGTTAACCATATTAAATAAAGAGAACGACACATAAATTATAAGCTTAATATGACAGATTTATACTTACGTCGTGAGCAGACTACACACAAAACCGTAGTGGGCTAAGCATTTGCATGGTGTTCATTTGGGCCTTTGGATTCCAATACATATCATGGTGTTCATTCAAGACTATGATATCCCTACTCCAGCCCCTAGGAGGCAGGGGTCAACTCTTTAGAGTCTCCCTTGGGTTGTTGTCCGCTAGAGGCTGTCCCGACGGGCCAGCAGTGATGTCTACACCATACTCGCAGAACACAGGTCTGCCTAGCATGGCTTGCAATATCGCTAGTTGGCTGCTTACATGGAGTCTCTCCTGTAAATAGCAAGTAAAAAAGGAGATTAGTAATTGTCACATACTACTCAGAACTCTCTCAAGTTCAATTTCTCTCAAACCATTTCTGATTTAGGCTTCGCACCCTCCCTTTTTTCTTGAGTCTTCATCCATTAGCCTAATCGTGTTATTGTTTTGCAAGTATGATTTTTGTCAATCTATTATTGGCAAAAATTTGCATCCACAACATCTACATAGGGAGAAGAATACCATTATATTATAAAACTAATGACAACTCTAGTGATCTTTAAAAGGACAATAAGTTAGTAATAGGACTAGGTGTCACTATGGAGTGGTGGTGCCACTAGGGTGTCTTGGCATAACCAAACTTTCAGTCTCCTATCTGGGGGCTACAGTTAACTTACCCTACCCAAGTTTATAATAATGGGCTGACCTTGTTTCAGATTCAACCTAAACTTATGTCAGATTTTGGTCTGCCTCATTCTGGGCTAACCCAACTATAATCAGATCCACAAAATCCAACTGCTAACCGATCAACACCTATGATACATGGCCCAAATACTAGTACTAACATTTATTTTTACGAAAGAGTAATGCAGCACTTAATTTTTATAATAGAGGTAGGCATGCCAATGTAGTGGGTCCTATCTTTATTAGAGAAATTGTACAAATAAATGGTAAAATAACAATTTTGTTTAAGAAATTGTTATCAGCATTTCAAAAAAGTTATCATGCCATTCTTCAAAGTTCAATTTCTCCTTTACATTTTACTACAAATGAATGCTTGATAACTTTCTTTTGATAAATCAAGTTTACTGATTAATTGTTAAATTAAAAATAAGATAAAATGACTTGTAACTTAAGTGGTAAAATGTCTTCTCACCTGCGCACGATGTCATGCTCCCTTTTCCCTCAACTATTGCTTGAATTTAGAAAAAAAGAAAGAAGGCTCATTTATGCACATCAGATATATATAAAACATGTAATGTCATTTGTAAATACGATACACAATATAAGCTTCTAGTTATTGTGGTGTACAATAGACGTACATCGAATTATCAATATATTTGTTACAAGTTATTCACGTACTTAGATTAAGTCATAATGCAAAAAACAATGAACGTATAAAATTTTGTCTTCCGATATATACTTTTCAAATCTCTCTTTCTATTACCAATTAATTATAAGGAAAACTAATAAAAATAGCTTGAAAACTTTGAGTTTTAACGATAAAGACAAAATAAAAGGTAAAATGAATAGTACCAGGATTGACTTTTTAGTATAAAATGTGGTTTTTCGTTAAAATGAACAGTAGTGTGGGTTTTTTGTTAAAACTCCCTTAATTTTAGAATTATACGCCCTAACTGTAACATGTGCCGCACCTCCTACCTCCTACCTTGTAAGTACTGGTAACAAATTTCCCACAAAAGGCCGTAAGACAGTACGTTAAACCACCTAAAGCAAGGCTGTGATTTGTCTCATGCAGTGACTCTGGCACCGTCTAATACCGGTCAAACAAGGCAGTTGGCAGTTGGCTCTCTCCTATCAAAAGCTGCCCACATTCCACGAATTTTTTAAAAAACTTTATGGCTGATAGGAATAATAGGTCACCACATCCAACGCCAGAAACATCCAAACTTTCCACATTCCTGCAGAGCAATGCTCAAGGCCGCCGTTTGGCATTATTCAGCTGCTAATAACATTGTAAAGAAACACATATTATATCTTCTACTGATATCTGACAAGACAAGTGAAAATTTTGCTGCAGAAAAATAGTGAGTGAGAAATAATGTTGAAGAATAAAACTGTTTCTGCCGTCTGCTGTTTGAGAAGGAGCAGTGCTATCTAATCTCTCATATCTGCAGTTGGATTTTCTGTTGTCTTTGCCTACTTCTATCACTTCCATCTTTCCTTATAAATACTACTTCTCTGCACACTTCTCATGCAGTCAAGCAAGTTCGAGCAAGAGAGATCAAAGCTAGAGTTGAATACAATTGCTATATATTTGCTAATAACTTCTTCCAATTTCTTTATCGTAGTTTTGCTTAAGATTCAGATTCAATACTCTAACTATTGGGTAAGTAATGTAGTTTAGCTTCTTATACGTTGTCGATCATCTTCTGTTGTTGTTACACTTTCGAAAGCATAGTTTGATTCCTATTCATTGTTGGCTCATTTCCTACGCTTACACTTTCAAAATTAAGGTTGTCTATGTATATAGTATCAAAATCTTCTTTACTTGTTGAAAAGTAATGTAATTAAATTCATATACATTATTAGCTCATTTCATATAATTTTTGCGTTTTTTTAGGGTTATTAGCTATCTCATATACAATCAGAACTAGGTAAAAAATGATTTCTAATAAATTTCTCAGCTGGATGTCTTCTTTTCTTGCAAAATTATTATTTTCATAATTTCTAATTATAAGCATGAGGCTTTTACATTTGGTCCTTGGATAAATGGGTTCGATATTTTAGTTTATTGAGCATCTGATTATTTTGCAGGCCAGTATTATGATGAGATGCATGATGCACGAGGATTAAGGATCAACCTATCCGCCAGTCAAGAAGCATGACGTGCCTGGCTCCCTGGATGCCATCTAAGCAAATTTTCAATAAGAATGCTGATTTTTCTTAGTTGGTATTCAGGGAGCCGTGCATGTCTAGCTGTTAGACTCCGATCAACCCTCATCATGATGTGAAGTTTAAAGTCAATCATCTCCTACAGTAAGTACACAGCTACATGGAAGTGTGCTTTTTTTGTTGATCCACTAAAATCTTCTCTCCATTTTCTGTTTTTCTTGCTTTGTCCCTCTTGTTCTTGTTTTTATCAAGAGTAAGCCAAGGGTAATTGCTGTTCAAGTTGTCATTTATTGCTTAGTAATGTTATTCTTACCACTTAAATATATCACAATTTCGTCACTTAGTACTACGGTATAGTGATATTCCTCTTCATTTGTAAGTGAGAGGTCTTGGGTTCAATCCTCATCAAAGGCGAATTTTAACCATATTATTGCTAGCTCATTGTGAGGTTAAGCCTATCCCCATTCCTCTTGTGTACATAATATCATTTGTTCAAAAAAAAAAAAAATTCAATCAATCAAACCCTAAATTTTAGCCCATTGTGAGGCTAAGTTTACCCCCTCCCTCTTGTGTAAATAATATCACTTGTTAAAAAAAAAAAAATCAATCAAACCCTAAGGGCCTGTTTGATATCCTACTAAAAAAAAATTATAATTCTTAAAAACAACTTGGATAAACTTCTCTCAAGAACAATTTTTTTTTACAACCCAAAAACTTGTTTGGTATCTAACCTGGAAACTATTTTAAATCTTCAAGGATTTAGGCTATATAACCCAAAAACTTGTTTGTACAAAACCATTAGGTGGCCGTGGTTGAGGGAGGATAGTAAGGTCGGGTTGGGATTTGATAAGCGACCCAAAAAATACTTACCAAGACCCAATATCTTGATGACTTTATTTGAAACTCTCAATTTCACACTTCATACTATGAAGTCAAGTTGTCTTCGGATGAGTTTTGTTCACATATATGGTAGTGGGTTGCTAATTTCAAATGTTGCCATTGAAATTTAGCAAATTGAGTTTGAAATAAAGCTTTGGTAATGGCGGAGAGGTGAGGTTGGGGCTTGCGGGTGATTAGAGTGAAAGGATGGTGGGAAGAAAATATCTCAGTCGTCGGAAAGATTTATGTCACAGTCGCCAAAACATCTCTCTCAGCTGCTGGAAATATATCTCTCATCACAGCCAATTACTCTCAGTTGATGTTTAGTGTCGCTGGCCTCGACGCCAAAGTCCTGTAGATGTCGCGAAGAAGAAAAAAAAAATAGTAAAAACAGACTTTTGTTCTCAGATTTTAGGCTAGTTTTTGAGTTATTTTTTAGTTCAAGTTTTGAAAAATAAGCTTACCAAACAAATTTTTGAGTTGTGATTTGAGAAACAGTTTGTGAGTTAAAAACTTTGAACTCAAATAGAATACCAAACAAGCTCTAAATTTTACGTGTCAGCGATGTGTCTTCCTCCCTCCCTCTTGTCATCGTCTTTTGTTGTTGAAATTATTCAAACTCTAGGATTTCTTTTTACGTGCGGGGCATTTGATTCTCTAATTTTAAACCACAGAAAAATTGAAAACAAAATTGTCGGCTAGAGGACAAAAAATTACAAGAGATTAAAAGTCATGGTTCCAGGCTCTCTATATTTTGCTTTCTTCCAGTTTTCTATGCCATTGGAGTTTGGATGGAGTGCTAGTGAAGATAGGAGAGGGGATAGTTAAAGGGGAATGAGGGATGAGATTGGGGCTGCTGGAGATATGAAGAGAGTGGGAGAAGAAAACATACATAAAAAATGCAATAAATTTTATTTTGAGTTAGGT